TGCTGGAAGGAATATCACATCCAGCCAAATCATCTAAATAGTTCAAAATATCTACACCCATGTTTTGACATATAAATGCAATAGCATTTGTTGTTCGCATACATATATATGCAGCCGATCTCAAACCCATTGTTTATACACGATCGTAATACAAGTGTCCTCTCCATTTGTAACCTAAGAGATGGATGTCACCGGGGTCAACGACTAATTGTCTATAAGCCCGTTTCAGGTCCCTTTTAAACATTTTACAACCTTGACCTTTACTCTTAATTAACATAATAAAATCATCAACCGTGGGATACGAAACTGAAATTTCATCGCCTAAATATCGATATTTGAAAATACCAGAATTAACCGCCTCGCCCTCTGGAAAGCTCAAATCAACAATTACCCTGCGTTCTATCGAATCCTTTTTTGGAACAGAATTTAAAGGAGATAAAGCTGATGGACAGCTGAACGGATTTGCCTTAAATGGTCCAACAATTGCTTTATAAGAACTTTCTTTTTTCAAATAATTGGCAATATCATCTGGAAAATCAGTAGCCCCCGAATGATTACGGGAAAAAGTAGACCTGAACGGGCTCCCATCGTGACCCACCGGCCATCCATACTCCAAGAAGTCACAAACCTGAGCGTCACTATTATTCTGTAACAAGCTTCTCAACAAAAGAATATTAATTTTAGAGTAAATTGGAATTCTACAACCCTAAATAGACTGTTTCACTTTTTTTGGTCTTTTGGAAATTGTTGTTTGTGCTGTATTTAGACCCCTCTACCAAGAAATTTGTTTTGCATGCACACGTATAAAAATTGCAGTTTTTATCCAACGCAATCATAGGTTTGAACGTTGTTTTCAATTTAGACTTTATATATTTTTTCGTTTGGGCTTGAATTATAATTTCCTTCGGGTTTATATGATCCGTTCATCCTATTTCGACTCTTTAAAATTCAAGAGTCTTTCCTAAATTGAGGTAAATTATATGGCCTTCCAAATACCGTTTCGATCCCCAACATCACTGAAGAGACATTAATTGTCGAAATCCGGATATGGTGTACAAATTTTTGCATTTCCACAAGTTTATTGTTTATATATTCTGTATATATATATATATATATATATATATATATATATACAGAAAAAATATTTGTGGGCACTTGCGAAATCATACCCGCGGACACTAATAACAAAATAGCCACAAAGTACAGATCTGAGAGTACTATCAGTTACTGACAGCGATAGTTCAAAGCAAATAACTAATGAAAAATTCATGTATCTTAGACTAAAATGTGTTTACTTTTTACAATTTTAGAGGAATTGTGAATGGTGTACAAATCGTACTAAAATTTGCTCTTACGAAGTAAATAGACGCAGATATATAAACCATGAGACGACTGGATGCAAAGCAATACTAATTAAATGCTAAGAAATGATTAAAGCGAATTAAAATAAAACATTTAATTTTGGCAAAATTATTACAATTTCATATGAAAAAACAATAATAGACGTTAAAGTTAATTCAATCAATGTTCAGCACCATTTATCAACAACACTTTGCTCACACGTCTATATCTAGCGGGTAACAATAAATCTGAAATGTCTGAATCCATTACGAAATAATCCGAATCCAAATTATCAGGTATAAACTAAGTTGCTCGATCGTCCTTTAATCACTCAATTACATTGTAAATTCGTCTATCCACAGTAACAAATCAGCAAGGAACATACGCTGAAAAATAAAACTTCCACAGAAAATGAGAATGAAACTACTGATCATAAATATTGGGTGGGATAAATAATGGGAGGGTTAGTTTTCGGCTATCAACGGCAGAATGAAAAACTTTAATTCCTTTAAATGACAAGTCTATAAAGGAACCAATCAAAATTCATTGTTATGTTATAAAAATCATAACAAGTTGTATCATTAGCTAAATGTAAAGAACCGAAATAATTCGAACAGTATAAAGTCTATTTCTTTAATCTTCAGTCGCCAATTATATATTTTTAATTAATTAAAAATAGCACAATTGTAAATCAATGTCCAACTTGGGACTATTATACTAACATAGTATAATAGTCCCAGGTCCAACACACAATTGTAAAACTGTGCACTACATAAAATATTTAAGCATGCATAGTTTCTCAATTGTTTGACCGGTTTACGTGCATTAGCACGTACAGTTTTAAAATTGTTTTGATCAACTCGGCTACATAATCAGGGGCGGATCCAGGATTTTAGGAGGGGGGCGCAAACATAATTTTTTTTAGGTAAAATTATCGAAATATTCTTTATTAAGCTGAGGATAACCCATACTTTGCAAATTTTAGGAGGGCGCACGCCCGCCACTCCCCCGCCTGAATCCGCCCCTGTTACTTTGCGTGAAAATATGTACTGTTCAATTTTACAATTTCCATGGGGAATAATGCATGGTGTACAGATTGTATGAAAATTGTAAAACAATGTACACAATTATAAAACTAAGCATTACGTAAATTATAAAGCTTGCACAGTTTCACAATTGTTTGCCCAACCCAGCTGCATTATTTTACGTGCATAATTAGCTATATATAAAAAAGAAGATGTGGTATGATTGCCAATGAGACAACTTCCCACAAGAGACCAAATGACACAGAAATTAACAACTATAGGTTATCGTACGGCCTTCAACAATGAGCAAAGCACATACCGCACAGTCAGCTATAAAAGGCCATGCACACTTTTACAAGTAAATATACATTTCACATCCAATTTTTTATGGAAATATTCTTTATAAAGCACAAAAATGTCAGTATTCACCTCTGAAGATAACAAAACCTTTAAATAGACTTATTAAGAAGGGATATAGTTACGATACTGTTGTCAGGTCATTAAAGATTGCATATTTTGGCGTTAATATTGATTCACTTATAGGGTCTTTGCATCGGCACTAAACACATTTATTTTAAAACTAGAGGCTCTCAAGAGCCTGTGTCGCTCACCTGTATTTACTGATGCTTTGGAAATCATGTAAAATAAGGTTAAAATCATAATTAATAGTATTAGATATTAGATATTATAATGATATCTAAGATAATAACAAAAAACTGCAAAATTTTTGTAAAATTACTAACTCAGGGGCAGCAACCCAACAACGGGTCGTCGGATTTGTCTGAAAATTTCAGGGCAGATAAATCTAAATCTGATGAACATTTTTGCCACCTGTCAGATTTGCTCTAAATGCTTTAGTTTCAGAGATATAAACCAAAAACTGCATTTTACCCCTATGTTCTATTTTTAACTAAGTTGGCCATGATGGTTGGAAGGCGGGGTCATCGGACAAATTTTTTAAACTAGATACCCTAATAGTGATTATGGCCAAGTATGGTTAAATTTGTCTCAGTAGTTTCAGAGAAGAAGATTTTTGTAAAAGATTACAAAAATTTACGAAAAATTGTTAAAAATTGACTATAAAGGGCAATAACTCCTAAAGGGGTCGACTGACAATTTTGGTCATGACAACTTATTTGTAGATCTTACTTTGCTGAACATTATTGCTGTTTACAGTTTATCTCTATCTATAATAATATTCAAAATAATAACCAAAAACTGCAAAATTTCCTTAAAATTACCAATTCAGGGGCAGCAACCCAACAACAGGTTGTCAGATTTGTCTGAAAATTTCAGGGCAGATAGATCTTGACCTGATAATCAGTTTTACCCCTTGTCAGATTTACTCTAAATGCTTTGGTTTCAGAGATATAAGCCAAAATCTACATTTTACCCCTATGTTCTATTTTTAGCCATGGCAGCCATCTTGGTTGGTTGGCGGGGTCATCGGACACATTTTTTAAACTAGATACCCTAATGATGATTGTGGCCAAGTTTGGTTAAATTTGGTCCAGTGGTTTCAGAGGAGAAGATTTTTGTAAAAAGCTAACGACGACGGACGACGACGACGACGACGACGACGGACGACGGACGACGGACGCCAAGTGATGAGAAAAGCTCACTTGACCCTTCGGGTCAGGTGAGCTAAAAACCAGTTGTTGGCATGACACGGGTTATGTTCTTCTCATATATGTTATGATGGTATGATACTAAACCCCTAACGGGAAGGATTGTGCCTGATATTCATATGATGAAGACATAATCTTTCAATCAGTTTAATTGAAGTCTGGAGCTGGCATGTCAGTTAACTGCTAGTAGTCTGTTGTTATTTATGTATTATTGTCATTTTGTTTATTTTCTTTGGTTACATCTTCTGACATCAGACTCGGACTTCTCTTGAACTGAATTTTAATGTGCGTATTGTTATGCGTTTACTTTTCTACATTGGCTAGAGGTATAGGGGGAGGGTTGAGATCTCATAAACATGTTTAACCCCGCCGCATTTTTGCGCCTGTCCCAAGTCAGGAGCCTCTAGCCTTTGTTAGTCTTGTATTATTTTTAATTTTAGTTTCTTGTGTACAATTTGGAGTTTAGTATGGCGTTCATTATCACTGAACTAGTATATATATTTGTTTAGGGGCCAGCTGAAGGACGCCTCCGGGTGCGGGAATTTCTCGCTGCATTGAAGACCTGTTGGTGACCTTCTGCTGTTGTCTGTTCTATGGTCGGGTTGTTGTCTCTTTGACACATTCCCCATTTCCATTCTCAATTTTATTTATTGCTCATTGTGTACAGTATGTATGAAAATTGTAAAACAATGCATGCCCATGCAGTTTAACAAACAATTGCAAAACTCTGCATTACGTAAATATTAAAGCATGCTTGCAAAGTTTCTCAATTGTTTGACGAATCCGGTTGTTTTATTTTGCGACAAAACACCTCTGATCGTCACGGTTCATTAGACCACACTGTCAAAATGTTCTCTGTTTTTATTAGTTACTTATGATTTGGCGGGTTATTTCTATTGTTCTAATTACAACTCATATCATGAGCCAGAGGGAATTAATTTTGATGTGAGCAGCTAACACGTTAAACTGGTCCGCCGTTCCATCTATACCTTCGCACCGATAAGTGAACACAACAGGGGTCCAGTTTACTAACACGTTACATTGAACTGAGTGTTCACAAAGATTTAACATCTTTTTGGTTGGAAAGTTTCTTCTACAAGGTCGGTTTTATTCTTTCTTTATAAATAACATAATAATGGTCCAGTAATAGTCGATTTTACACAGAATGAATTTGCAATTTATGTTGGTGACTGTCGAAAAGGAGTATTATCAAGGCAATCAGAAAAGTGGAGATGACTGTGGAAATGTTTCATTTGGGTCGCAATAAATAATTTTTTTTTATTTTTACATGATATAACATTAATTATAACAGAGACATATATTATTATATGTCTCTGATTATAATAAAATGGTAAATTCAGTTTATTAGTTTCTAAGAGGAAAAAAATAAATATGAAACATAAGAATTTCACAAGTGAAGAATTTAATATCATGACTATATATAGTATTTGACTGAATTTGAAATGGAAAAAGGTAATGCAGAAAAAATGTTTGTTTTGTGGGGAAAGATATAGATAATAAACCATGTAAGAAAATGTTTTTGAAAATAGGAGCATACAGTTTTTACATCATGAAATAAAAACAGAGCAGTGCTGTTAGTAAATTTAATTTTAGAAGTCAGAGAGGCTGAGTAAGGCCATGTGAGTTTTGTCCCTTACATAATGATGAGGTATATAAATGAATGACCATTTGTACTTGGGACGCTTTAGTAGGCAGTACAGATGGTTAAAAATGTTTGTAAAAAACACTTGGCATCATACATATATTGCAATAAGCATTTTTTTGTGTATTTAATCATGTTTTTATTTATTTGACTGTCTGGCAGACCTAGAATGTTAGTTTCTGATGCAAATACTAAATATGATTCCCCTCAACTAAATTAGTTAATGTTATGCTTCAATAGTACCATGTGCTGTCGACAGTTGTTAAAGAGTTCTGATAGATTATACAAATGTTTCAACCGTCTTACCTTGCAGTTCACATGCACTTTTATATATGGGTTGTCTGTTTTCAAATCTGAATTCCATACATACATGTAATGTATATGCATAGCAATAAACTGAGCTTAATGCAAAGGACTTTAAAACTACACTTAGACAGAAAACTCAATTCAGTGATATACTTTGTAATACTGGATATAATCATGATAACTTGAATAATTTACAACGGATTGTTACCAAACTCCATGGCGATCCTGAAAAAAATATAAAAAAATGTTTCTACTAGAATACAAAGTAAGCTATCACAAATATTCAGTGCTAATCTAGTTTTAGTTACTACTTCCACAATATATATGCCAAGAGCTGACCGTGCCTCTCATTTTGACACATAAACTGACTTCAACCTTTCAACAAACACTGGGTAACAAACATTGGATTTCAATGTCTATAATTTTAGTCTTTTTTGTCTTTGTTTTGTTTTTACCTTTGTTCACAAATTGACCAATATATATTCATTGCATTTATATAAACAAATTTGTAGTTAATGTCTTTAAAAGGACTGTCTGACGTTGGGTAGAGAAATATTGGCAATTCAATGGTCTAAATGTCCAGTAAGGGAACAGTTGTTAAACTCTGAGGAGGTGTTAGGGTTTTCCTTTAACATGTTTAATGTCTTTTGGTCTCTTTTCCTTTTTTGCCATGGCGTTTTAAGTTTATTTTTGGCTTGTGAGTTTGAATATCCCTTTGGTATCTTTCACCTCTTTCCAAGAAATAAATATTGTGACCAAGCAGAAGGGAAAAAAATAATTGTCTGATCAGGACATTTTGCCATTAAACTCAATGTTAAGTTTGGACTTATTGTGCATCTTGAAATTGATGAAAAAAAATTAAATTGGATATCTAAACATTGCTAGAAGGAATTTAATCAGAAGCAAAATAAATGATTCTGTAGAAACAAATGCATGAAGATACCCTTCTAGACAATTATGGTTGTAAATAAGTCCATTACTCTAGAAGGTGGAAGACCTGGATGCTTCATACTTTGTAAATAGATGCCTTATGTTATGAAGTTTCTGTCTGTCATATGACCATTGTCCTTGATTTTCATGGTTCAGTGAATACTTGAAAAAAAAGTTTAATTTTTTAATAATGTTAATTTCTCTTATTATGAGTAATAGGATAATTATATTTAGTATGTGCGTACCTTGCAAGTCCTCATGCCTGTCAGACAGTTCATCTGACCTCGACCTCATTTCATGAATCAGTAAACAAGGTTAAGTTTACAGGTCAAGTTCATATCTCAGATACTATAAGCAATAGGTCTACTATATTTGGTGTATGGAATGATTGTAAGGTGTGCATGTCCAATTGACAGGTGTCATCTGACCCTGACCTCATTTTCATGGTTCAGTGGTTAAAATTAAAGTTTTTGTGTTTTTTTTCTAATACTATATGCAATAGGACAACTTTATTTGGTGTATGGAAATATTTTACGATGTACATGTACATGTACATGTCAGTCTGGTAGGTTTTATTTGATCTTGACCTCATTTTCACGGTTAATTGCTCAGTGTTCAGTTTTTATGTTTTTGGTCTGGTTTTTTTTAAATATAAGCAATAGGTCAAATATATTTGGTGTATGGAATGATTGTTAGGTGTATATGTCTGTCTGGCAGGTATCATCTGACCTTGACCTCATTTTTATGGTTCATTGGTCAATGTTAAGTTTTTGTGTTTTGGTCTGGTATTCAATTACCATAAACAATAGGTCAACTACATTTGATGTATGGAATTATTGTAAGGTGTACATGTCTGTCTTGCAGGTATCATATGACCTTGACCTCATTTTTATGGTTCATTGGTCAATGTTAAGTTTTTGTGTTTTGGTCTGGTATTCATGGATCTTTAAAAATGTTAAGTTTATGTGATACTTGTAGTAAAATCGTTATCTTTAAGATTTTCAACATAAAATCAATTGTCAGTAAAGCAGGAGAGACATTTCAGCATGTGCACTCTTATATAATTTTATTGGGGTGTAAAAGCGTTGATGGAAGCACATTTTGTAAGCACTTCAGATTAAAAATGTGTGCAAGATCAACCCTTTTACAACCCTAGTTATATAGCTGAGAGGGTGAGAGAGATTGTCACCTCTAAAAAAAAATGTAAACCTTAGTGTCACATAATTATAATGACTTTTTATGAAATCAAGGGTTATATAGGTTTTTTTTAATGCATTATTTTAACAATGTCATGGATAGCCTGTGGAGTCATAGCTGTTGTATTTTATACAGAGTTTGGGTGCCTCATGATTACTGTCAGTAATCAAAATTACGGATTCTAGTGTCAGAAACATACATGTTATGTTATTATTTTCAGGTAAAAGTTTTTTTTCTTTTCTCTTTGATTTCTCTTATAAAAGTAAATAAGAGATAGTTTAATTCTAAATTTGTAACAAAAGAGGCTCAAACAGCTGGCTGTTTATAGTGAAATGGAGATCATAATTACAATAAGTCATGGATAACTTTCAACATAATAGCTATTATGCACCATACTGTTTACAATTCTTTCACAATATTAACAGATTCTATGTCATATATTAAGGAATTGTTGAACTAACACAATCCTTTACCAGTGCACCACAGGATAAAACTCTTACTCTAAAACCAATATAAAAATAACACAGAGCTGAGGGGGGATAGAGAAGATTGTTACAGTGAGAAAAAACAAAAATAATGTTCTGTTATTGCAATGCATAGTCTAAATTTTAAATTGAAAGAAATAAACTATGGTGTCATGTACATAAAAACCATCCATTTGAAAAAAATACACAAATGATCAAGCGTCTACTTGATTGGCATTAGACTATATATAACGCCATGGGATAGAGTAGAATGTCTCCCTCATATTAAAACAATCACAATCTGTCACTTTCAATCTAACCTTGACCTCAGGTTTATTTTTTTAACTCTGGATAAAGGATCTACAAGCGATTCCTGGTCTACGATTTCCTAAAATTATTAACAAAATCTTCCACTATCTTCATAATTTTGTCATAGAAATTAGGACTCTGTATTTGAATTTACTAAATGTCTCATCAATATTAAAATAATTTGAATATATATAACAGATAGATGGAAGCCCAGAGAAGAAAGTACAGTCCTAGACCTGGAGATGATTTAATTGTAGATGCCTAGATGATGATGTAGGTATTTTATCATTACAATTGTACTAAAACTGTGAATAGTTGTAAGGTAATAAAATCAGTTTTCCCTGGAGAAACAGCTTGAAAAATTTCAAATTTATACTCCAATGAAATATATTTTAATAAGAAAGAATACTTGTACATTGTACTCAAATTTAGGATTTGAATTAAGCTTTATATTTGGTTCAATATTTTTGAACTTATTTTGTTTTTGTTTCAGATACCAGCCCCAGGATATTTAATTCAGAACAGGTAACGTATGAATCGGAAAGTAGGTATATTTTTTTTTATTTATTAATAGTTGTCTGATAGATATTAAAATAATTTGAATATGTATTACAGATAGACGGGAGGTGAGAGAGAAGAAAAAAGTACAGTCCTAGACCTGGAGACGATTAAATTGAAGATGCCTAAGTGATGATGTAGGTATTTTGTCATTACAATTGTACTTAAACTGTTAATAAGTTGTCAGTTTTCCCTGGAGAAACAGCTTGAAAATTTATTACAAATTAGTCCAACATTTCTTTTGCAAATTTATACTCCAATGAAATATATTTTAATAAAAAAGTATACTTGTATTCCAATTTAGGATTTGAATTAAAACATGCATCACATTAATTTCTGAATAAATCATAACAGCAAATAGTCTCTTTACATTGACAATTTGGAAACCCTTTCTCTAATAGTCTAACCTGAACGAAAGTAAAGTTTCCGTTTGTCAATTTGGGTATCTACATGTTTAGTCGATTTTTTTAAAGTAATTTGGAAAATATGACTTGATTTAGATTGTTTGAAATTCAGTTGAATTTTAATCATTTCTGTTCAAAATGTATACATCAGATTGTTTTGGTTAGCCACCAACTTCTGATAATTTGACAGGAACATTAATTTCAGAAATAATGATTATATCTTAAAACCGTCTTCATTACTGATTGAAATATAGATTTAAAATGAAAATAAGTGAATGATATATAGTCAAAAAGAGCAATTGACCAATGATGATGGCTGCCATTAATGCCAGTTTTTCTTCATAGATATTTTGAAAGAAAAAAAAATTAAAGTAGCAAATTTTTTAAGTTTTATATTTGGTTCAATATTTTTGAACTTATTTTGTTTTTGTTTCAGATACCAGCCCCAGGATATTTACGTCGGAACAGGTAAAGTATGAATCAGAATGTAAGTATATTTTTTTTTTATTTATTAATAGTTGTACTATAGATATTAAAATAATTTGAATATGTATTACAGATAGACGGCAGCCCAGAGAGAAGAAGAAAAAGTACAGTCCTAGACATGGAGACGATTAAATTGAAGATGCCTTGATGATGATGTAGGTATTTTGTCATTACAATTGTACTTAAACTGTTAATAAGTTGTCAGTTTTCCCTGGAGAAACAGCTTGAAAATTTATTACAAATTAGTCCAACATTTCTTTTTCAAATTTATACTCTAAATGAAATATATTTTAATAAAAAAGTATACTTGTATTCCAATTTAGGATTTGAATTAAAACATGCATCACATTAATTTCTGAATTAATTATAACAGTAAATAGTCTCTTAACATTGACAATTTGGAAACCCTTTCTCTAATAGTCTCACCTGAACGAAAGTAAAGTTTCCGATTGTCAATTTGGATATCTACATATTTAGTCGATTTTTTTAAAGTAATTTGGAAAATATGACTTGATTTAGATTGTTTGAAATTCAGTTGAATTTTAATCATTTCTGTTCAAAATGTATACATCAGATTGTTTTGGTTAGCCACCAACTTCTGATAATTTGACAGGAACATTAATTTCGGAAATAATGATTATATCATTTAACCATCTTCATTACTGATTGAAATATAGATTTAAAATGAAAATAAGTGAATGATATATAGTGAAAAAGAGCAATTGACCAATGATGATGGCTGCCATTAATGCCAGTTTCTCTATATAGATATTTTGAAAGAAAAAAAAATTAAAGTAGCAAATTTTTTAAGTTTTATATTAAATTGCTGGTTCAATATTTTTGAACTTATTTTGTTTTTGTTTCAGATACCAGCCCCAGGATATTTACGTCGGAACAGGTAAAGTATGAATCAGAATGTAAGTATATTTTTTTTTTATTTATTAATAGTTGTACTATAGATATTAAAATAATTTGAATATGTATTGCAGATAGACGGCAGCCCAGAGAAAAGAAGAAAGTACAGTCCTAGACCTGGATATAATAAAACTGAGGATGCCTAGATGATGATGTAGGTATTTTCTCATTACAATTGTACTTAAACTGTTAATAAGTTGTAAGGTAATAAAATCAGTTTTCCCTGGAGAAACAGCTTGAAAATTTATTACAAATTAGTCCAACATTTCTTTTGCAAATTTATACTCTAATGAAATATATTTTAATAAAAAAGTATACTTGTATTCCAATTTAGGATTTGAATTAAAACATGCATCACATTAATTTCTGAATAAATTATAACAGCAAATAGTCTCTTAACATTGACAATTTGGAAACCCTTTCTCTAATAGTCTCACCTGAACGAAAGTAAAGTTTCCGTTTGTCAATTTGGATATCTACATATTTAGTCGATTTTTTTAAAGTAATTTGGAAAATATGACTTGATTTAGATTGTTTGAAATTCAGTTGAATTTTAATCATTTCTGTTCAAAATGTATACATCAGATTGTTTTGGTTAGCCACCAACTTCTGATAATTTGACAGGAACATTAATTTCGGAAATAATGATTATATCTTAAAACGGTCTATTACTGATTGAAATATAGATTAAAAATGAAAATAAGTGAAATATATATAGTCAAAAAGAGCAATTGACCAATGATGATGGCTGCCATTAATGCCAGTTTTTCTTCATAGATATTTTGAAAGAAAAAAAAATTAAAGTAGCAAATTTTTTAAGTTTTATATTTGGTTCAATATTTTTGAACTTATTTTGTTTTTTTTTCAGATACCAGCCCCAGGATATCTACATCGGAACAGGTAAAGTATGAATCGGAAAGTAAGTATATTTTTTTTTTTAATTATTAATAGTTGTCCTATAGATATTAAAATAATTTGAATATTTATTACAGATAGACGGCAGCCCAGAGAGAAGAAGAAAAAGTACAGTCCTAGACATGGAGACGATTAAATTGAAGATGCCTTGATGATGATGTAGGTATTTTGTCATTACAATTGTACTTAAACTGTTAATAAGTTGTCAGTTTTCCCTGGAGAAACAGCTTGAAAATTTATTACAAATTAGTCCAACATTTCTTTTTCAAATTTATACTCTAATGAAATATATTTTAATAAAAAAGTATACTTGTATTCCAATTTAGGATTTGAATTAAAACATGCATCACATTAATTTCTGAATAAATTATAACAGTAAATAGTCTCTTAACATTGACAATTTGGAAACCCTTTCTCTAATAGTCTCACCTGAACGAAACAAAAGTTTCCAATTGTCAATTTGGATATCTACATATTTAGTCGATTTTTTTAAAGTAATTTGGAAAATATGACTTGATTTAGATTGTTTGAAATTCAGTTGAATTTTAATCATTTCTGTTCAAAATGTATACATCAGATTGTTTTGGTTAGCCACCAACTTCTGATAATTTGACAGGAACATTAATTTCAGAAATAATGATTATATCATTTAACCATCTTCATTACTGATTGAAATATAGATTTAAAATGAAAATAAGTGAATGATATATAGTCAAAAAGAGCAATTGACCAATGATGATGGCTGCCATTAATGCCAGTTTTTCTATATAGATATTTTGAAAGAAAAAAAAATTTAAGTAGCAAATTTTTTAAGTTTTATATTAAATTGCTGGTTCAATATTTTTGAACTTATTTTGTTTTTGTTTCAGATACCAGCCCCAGGATATTTACGTCGGAACAGGTAAAGTATGAATCAGAATGTAAGTATATTTTTTTTTTATTTATTAATAGTTGTACTATAGATATTAAAATAATTTGAATATGTATTGCAGATAGACGGCAGCCCAGAGAAAAGAAGAAAATACAGTCCTAGACCTGGAGAAGATAAAATTGAGGATGCCTAGATGATGATGTAGGTATTTTGTCATTACAATTGTACTTAAACTGTTAATAAGTTGTCAGTTTTCCCTGGAGAAACAGCTTGAAAATTTATTACAAATTAGTCCAACATTTCTTTTGCAAATTTATACTCTAATGAAATATATTTTAATAAAAAAGTATACTTGTATTCCAATTTAGGATTTGAATTAAAACATGCATCACATTAATTTCTGAATAAATTATAACAGCAAATAGTCTCTTAACATTGACAATTTGGAAACCCTTTCTCTAATAGTCTCACCTGAAGGAAAGTAAAGTTTCCTATTGTCAATTTGGATATCTACATATTTAGTCGATTTTTTTAAAGTAATTTGGAAAATATGACTTGATTTAGATTGTTTGAAATTCAGTTGAATTTTAATCATTTCTGTTCAAAATGTATACATCAGATTGTTTTGGTTAGCCACCAACTTCTGATAATTTGACAGGAACATTAATTTCGGAAATAATGATTATATCTTAAAACCGTCTTCATTACTGATTGAAATATAGATTAAAAATGAAAATAAGTGAATGATATATAGTCAAAAAGAGCAATTGACCAATGATGATGGCTGCCATTAATGCCAGTTTTTCTTCATAGATATTTTGAAAGAAAAAAAAATTAAAGTAGCAAATTTTTTAAGTTTTATATTTGGTTCAATATTTTTGAACTTATTTTGTTTTTGTTTCAGATACCAGCCCCAGGATATTTACGTCGGAACAGGTAAAGTATGAATCAGAATGTAAGTATATTTTTTTTTTATTTATTAATAGTTGTACTATAGATATTAAAATAATTTGAATATGTATTACAGATAGACGGCAGCCCAGAGAGAAGAAGAAAAAGTACAGTCCTAGACATGGAGACGATTAAATTCAAGATGCCTTGATGATGATGTAGGTATTTTGTCATTACAATTGTACTTAAACTGTTAATAAGTTGTCAGTTTTCCCTGGAGAAACAGCTTGAAAATTTATTACAAATTAGTCCAACATTTCTTTTTCAAATTTATACTCTAATGAAATATATTTTAATAAAAAAGTATACTTGTATTCCAATTTAGGATTTGAATTAAAACATGCATCACATTAATTTCTGAATAAAATATAACAGTAAATAGTCTCTTAACATTGACAATTTGGAAACCCTTTCTCTAATAGTCTCACCTGAACGAAACAAAAGTTTCCAATTGTCAATTTGGATATCTACATATTTAGTCGATTTTTTTAAAGTAATTTGGAAAATATGACTTGATTTAGATTGTTTGAAATTCAGTTGAATTTTAATCATTTCTGTTCAAAATGTATACATCAGATTGTTTTGGTTAGCCACCAACTTCTGATAATTTGACAGGAACATTAATTTCAGAAATAATGATTATATCATTTAACCATCTTCATTACTGATTGAAATATAGATTTAAAATGAAAATAAGTGAATGATATATAGTCAAAAAGAGCAATTGACCAATGATGATGGCTGCCATTAATGCCAGTTTTTCTATATAGATATTTTGAAAGAAAAAAAAATTTAAGTAGCAAATTTTTTAAGTTTTATATTAAATTGCTGGTTCAATATTTTTGAACTTATTTTGTTTTTGTTTCAGATACCAGCCCCAGGATATTTACGTCGGAACAGGTAAAGTATGAATCAGAATGTAAGTATATTTTTTTTTTATTTATTAATAGTTGTACTATAGATATTAAAATAATTTGAATATGTATTGCAGATAGACGGCAGCCCAGAGAAAAGAAGAAAATACAGTCCTAGACCTGGAGAAGATAAAATTGAGGATGCCTAGATGATGATGTAGGTATTTTGTCATTACAATTGTACTTAAACTGTTAATAAGTTGTCAGTTTTCCCTGGAGAAACAGCTTGAAAATTTATTACAAATTAGTCCAACATTTCTTTTGCAAATTTATACTCTAATGAAATATATTTTAATAAAAAAGTATACTTGTATTCCAATTTAGGATTTGAATTAAAACATGCATCACATTAATTTCTGAATAAATTATAACAGCAAATAGTCTCTTAACATTGACAATTTGGAAACCCTTTCTCTAATAGTCTCACCTGAAGGAAAGTAAAGTTTCCTATTGTCAATTTGGATATCTACATATTTAGTCGATTTTTTTAAAGTAATTTGGAAAATATGACTTGATTTAGATTGTTTGAAATTCAGTTGAATTTTAATCATTTCTGTTCAAAATGTATACATCAGATTGTTTTGGTTAGCCACCAACTTCTGATAATTTGACAGGAACATTAATTTCGGAAATAATGATTATATCTTAAAACCGTCTTCATTACTGATTGAAATATAGATTAAAAATGAAAATAAGTGAATGATATATAGTCAAAAAGAGCAATTGACCAATGATGATGGCTGCCATTAATGCCAGTTTTTCTTCATAGATATTTTGAAAGAAAAAAAAATTAAAGTAGCAAATTTTTTAAGTTTTATATTTGGTTCAATATTTTTGAACTTATTTTGTTTTTGTTTCAGATACCAGCCCCAGGATATTTACGTCGGAACAGGTAAAGTATGAATCAGAATGTAAGTATATTTTTTTTTTATTTATTAATAGTTGTACTATAGATATTAAAATAATTTGAATATGTATTACAGATAGACGGCAGCCCAGAGAGAAGAAGAAAAAGTACAGTCCTAGACATGGAGACGATTAAATTGAAGATGCCTTGATGATGATGTAGGTATTTTGTCATTACAATTGTACTTAAACTGTTAATAAGTTGTCAGTTTTCCCTGGAGAAACAGCTTGAAAATTTATTACAAATTAGTCCAACATTTCTTTTTCAAATTTATACTCTAAATGAAATATATTTTAATAAAAAAGTATACTTGTATTCCAATTTAGGATTTGAATTAAAACATGCATCACATTAATTTCTGAATTAATTATAACAGTAAATAGTCTCTTAACATTGACAATTTGGAAACCCTTTCTCTAATAGTCTCACCTGAACGAAAGTAAAGTTTCCTATTGTCAATTTGGATATCTACATATTTAGTCGATTTTTTTAAAGTAATTTGGAAAATATGACTTGATTTAGATTGTTTGAAATTCAGTTGAATTTTAATCATTTCTGTTCAAAATGTATACATCAGATTGTTTTGGTTAGCCACCAACTTCTGATAATTTGACAGGAACATTAATTTCGGAAATAATGATTATATCATTTAACCATCTTCATTACTGATTGAAATATAGATTTAAAATGAAAATAAGTGAATGATATATAGTGAAAAAGAGCAATTGACCAATGATGATGGCTGCCATTAATGCCAGTTTCTCTATATAGATATTTTGAAAGAAAAAAAAATTAAAGTAGCAAATTTTTTAAGTTTTATATTAAATTGCTGGTTCAATATTTTTGAACTTATTTTGTTTTTGTTTCAGATACCAGCCCCAGGATATTTACGTCGGAACAGGTAAAGTATGAATCAGAATGTAAGTATATTTTTTTTTTATTTATTAATAGTTGTACTATAGATATTAAAATAATTTGAATATGTATTGCAGATAGACGGCAGCCCAGAGAAAAGAAGAAAATACAGTCCTAGACCTGGAGAAGATAAAATTGAGGATGCCTAGATGATGATGTAGGTATTTTGTCATTACAATTGTACTTAAACTGTTAATAAGTTGTCAGTTTTCCCTGGAGAAACAGCTTGAAAATTTATTACAAATTAGTCCAACATTTCTTTTGCAAATTTATACTCTAATGAAATATATTTTAATAAAAAAGTATACTTGTATTCCAATTTAGGATTTGAATTAAAACATGCATCACATTAATTTCTGAATAAATTATAACAGCAAATAGTCTCTTAACATTGACAATTTGGAAACCCTTTCTCTAATAGTCTCACCTGAAGGAAAGTAAAGTTTCCTATTGTCAATTTGGATATCTACATATTTAGTCGATTTTTTTAAAGTAATTTGGAAAATATGACTTGATTTAGATTGTTTGAAATTCAGTTGAATTTTAATCATTTCTGTTCAAAATGTATACATCAGATTGTTTTGGTTAGCCACCAACTTCTGATAATTTGACAGGAACATTAATTTCGGAAATAATGATTATATCTTAAAACCGTCTTCATTACTGATTGAAATATAGATTAAAAATGAAAATAAGTGAATGATATATAGTCAAAAAGAGCAATTGACCAATGATGATGGCTGCCATTAATGCCAGTTTTTCTTCATAGATATTTTGAAAGAAAAAAAAATTAAAGTAGCAAATTTTTTAAGTTTTATATTTGGTTCAATATTTTTGAACTTATTTTGTTTTTGTTTCAGATACCAGCCCCAGGATATTTACGTCGGAACAGGTAAAGTATGAATCAGAATGTAAGTATATTTTTTTTTTATTTATTAATAGTTGTACTATAGATATTAAAATAATTTGAATATGTATTACAGATAGACGGCAGCCCAGAGAGAAGAAGAAAAAGTACAGTCCTAGACATGGAGACGATTAAATTGAAGATGCCTTGATGATGATGTAGGTATTTTGTCATTACAATTGTACTTAAACTGTTAAGAAGTTGTCAGTTTTCCCTGGAGAAACAGCTTGAAAATTTATTACAAATTAGTCCAACATTTCTTTTTCAAATTTATACTCTAATGAAATATATTTTAATAAAAAAGTATACTTGTATTCCAATTTAGGATTTGAATTAAAACATGCATCACATTAATTTCTGAATTAATTATAACAGTAAATAGTCTCTTAACATTGACAATTTGGAAACCCTTTCTCTAATAGTCTCACCTGAACGAAAGTAAAGTTTCCTATTGTCAATTTGGATATCTACATATTTAGTCGATTTTTTTAAAGTAATTTGGAAAATATGACTTGATTTAGATTGTTTGAAATTCAGTTGAATTTTAATCATTTCTGTTCAAAATGTATACATCAGATTGTTTTGGTTAGCCACCAACTTCTGATAATTTGACAGGAACATTAATTTCGGAAATAATGATTATATCATTTAACCATCTTCATTACTGATTGAAATATAGATTTAAAATGAAAATAAGTGAATGATATATAGTGAAAAAGAGCAATTGACCAATGATGATGGCTGCCATTAATGCCAGTTTCTCTATATAGATATTTTGAAAGAAAAAAAAATTTAAGTAGCAAATTTTTTAAGTTTTATATTAAATTGCTGGTTCAATATTTTTGAACTTATTTTGTTTTTGTTTCAGATACCAGCCCCAGGATATTTACGTCGGAACAGGTAAAGTATGAATCAGAATGTAAGTATATTTTTTTTTTATTTATTAATAGTTGTACTATAGATATTAAAATAATTTGAATATGTATTGCAGATAGACGGCAGCCCAGAGAAAAGAAGAAAATACAGTCCTAGACCTGGAGACGATAAAATTGAGGATGCCTAGATGATGATGTAGGTATTTTGTCATTACAATTGTACTTAAACTGTTAATAAGTTGTCAGTTTTCTCTGGAGAAACAGCTTGAAAATTTATTACAAATTAGTCCAACATTTCTTTTGCAAATTTATACTCCAATGAAATATATTTTAATAAAAAAGTATACTTGTATTCCAATTTAGGATTTGAATTAAAACATGCATCACATTAATTTCTGAATAAATTATAACAGCAAATAGTCTCTTAACATTGACAATTTGGAAACCCTTTCTCTAATAGTCTCACCTGAAGGAAAGTAAAGTTTCCTATTGTCAATTTGGATATCTACATATTTAGTCGATTTCTTTAAAGTAATTTGGAAAATATGACTTGATTTAGATTGTTTGAAATTCAGTTGAATTTTAATCATTTCTGTTCAAAATGTATACATCAGATTGTTTTGGTTAGCCACCAACTTCTGATAATTTGACAGGAACATTAATTTCGGAAATAATGATTATATCTTAAAACCGTCTTCATTACTGATTGAAATATAGATTAAAAATGAAAATAAGTGAAATATATATAGTCAAAAAGAGCAATTGACCAATGATGATGGCTGCCATTAATGCCAGTTTTTCTTCATAGATATTTTGAAAGAAAAAAAAATTAAAGTAGCAAATTTTTTAAGTTTTATATTTGGTTCAATATTTTTGAACTTATTTTGTTTTTGTTTCAGATACCAGCCCCAGGATATCTACATCGGAACAGGTAAAGTATGAATCGGAAAGTAAGTATATTTTTTTTTTTATTTATTAATAGTTGTCCTATAGATATTAAAATAATTTGAATATGTATTACAGATAGACGGCAGCCCAGAGAGAAGAAGAAAAAGTACAGTCCTAGTCCTGGAGACGATTAAATTGAAAATGACTTGATGATGATGTAGGTATTTTGTCATTACAATTGTACTTAAACTGTTAATAAGTTGTAAGGTAATAAAATCAGTTTTCCCTGGAGAAACAGCTTGAAAATTTATTACAAATTAGTCCAACATTTCTTTTTCAAATTTATACTCTAATGAAATATATTTTAATAAAAAAGTATACTTGTATTCCAATTTAGGATTTGAATTAAAACATGCATCACATTAATTTCTGAATTAATTATAACAGTAAATAGTCTCTTAACATTGACAATTTGGAAACCCTTTCTCTAATAGTCTCACCTGAACGAAAGTAAAGTTTCCTATTGTCAATTTGGATATCTACATATTTAGTCGATTTTTTTAAAGTAATTTGGAAAATATGACTTGATTTAGATTGTTTGAAATTCAGTTGAATTTTAATCATTTCTGTTCAAAATGTATACATCAGATTGTTTTGGTTAGCCACCAACTTCTGATAATTTGACAGGAACATTAATTTCGGAAATAATGATTATATCATTTAACCATCTTCATTACTGATTGAAATATAGATTTAAAATGAAAATAAGTGAATGATATATAGTGAAAAAGAGCAATTGACCAATGATGATGGCTGCCATTAATGCCAGTTTCTCTATATAGATATTTTGAAAGAAAAAAAAATTTAAGTAGCAAATTTTTTAAGTTTTATATTAAATTGCTGGTTCAATATTTTTGAACTTATTTTGTTTTTGTTTCAGATACCAGCCCCAGGATATTTACGTCGGAACAGGTAAAGTATGAATCAGAATGTAAGTATATTTTTTTTTTATTTATTAATAGTTGTACTATAGATATTAAAATAATTTGAATATGTATTGCAGATAGACGGCAGCCCAGAGAAAAGAAGAAAATACAGTCCTAGACCTGGAGACGATAAAATTGAGGATGCCTAGATGATGATGTAGGTATTTTGTCATTACAATTGTACTTAAACTGTTAATAAGTTGTCAGTTTTCTCTGGAGAAACAGCTTGAAAATTTATTACAAATTAGTCCAACATTTCTTTTGCAAATTTATACTCCAATGAAATATATTTTAATAAAAAAGTATACTTGTATTCCAATTTAGGATTTGAATTAAAACATGCATCACATTAATTTCTGAATAAATTATAACAGCAAATAGTCTCTTAACATTGACAATTTGGAAACCCTTTCTCTAATAGTCTCACCTGAAGGAAAGTAAAGTTTCCTATTTTCAATTTGGATATCTACATATTTAGTCGATTTCTTTAAAGTAATTTGGAAAATATGACTTGATTTAGATTGTTTGAAATTCAGTTGAATTTTAATCATTTCTGTTCAAAATGTATACATCAGATTGTTTTGGTTAGCCACCAACTTCTGATAATTTGACAGGAACATTAATTTCGGAAATAATGATTATATCTTAAAACCGTCTTCATTACTGATTGAAATATAGATTAAAAATGAAAATAAGTGAAATATATATAGTCAAAAAGAGCAATTGACCAATGATGATGGCTGCCATTAATGCCAGTTTTTCTTCATAGATATTTTGAAAGAAAAAAAAATTAAAGTAGCAAATTTTTTAAGTTTTATATTTGGTTCAATATTTTTGAACTTATTTTGTTTTTGTTTCAGATACCAGCCCCAGGATATCTACATCGGAACAGGTAAAGTATGAATCGGAAAGTAAGTATATTTTTTTTTTATTTATTAATAGTTGTCCTATAGATATTAAAATAATTTGAATATGTATTACAGATAGACGGCAGCCCAGAGAGAAGAAGAAAAAGTACAGTCCTAGTCCTGGAGACGATTAAATTGAAAATGACTTGATGATGATGTAGGTATTTTGTCATTACAATTGTACTTAAACTGTTAATAAGTTGTAAGGTAATAAAATCAGTTTTCCCTGGAGAAACAGCTTGAAAATTTATTACAAATTAGTCCAACATTTCTTTTGCAAATTTATACTCTAATGAAATATATTTTAATAAAAAAGTATACTTGTATTCCAATTTAGGATTTGAATTAAAACATGCATCACATTAATTTCTGAATTAATTATTACAGCAAATAGTCTCTTAACATTGACAATTTGGAAATCCTTTCTCTAAAAGTCTCACCTGAACGAAAGTAAAGTTTCCGATTGTCAATTTGGATATCTACATAAATGTATACATCAGATGTTTTGGTTAGCCACCAACTTCTGATAATTTGACACGCACATTAATTTCGATATAATGATTATATTATTAAAAAGTCTTCAATACTGAAGTCAAATAAGGATGTACCAGCAGTTATATATATTAAGATATCCTACAATCTATACACATCACAAATTCATACTTTTGTGTTTCTCTTACCAAAGCAAACTACTGTAAATTCAGAAATTATTGTGTATAGATGTAGGAAGATGTGGTATGAGTGCCAATGAGACAACTCTCCATCCAAGTAACAATTTATCAAAGTAAACCATTATAGGTCAAGGTACGGCCTTCAACACGGAGCATCGGCTCACACCAAACAGCAAGCTATAAAGGGCCCCAAAAATTACTAGTGTAAAACCTTTCAAACGGGAAAACCAACGGTCTTATCTATGTAAAAACGAGAGAACTACTGTACATCATGTGTGCATTTATTATTGCTATTTTTACATAATGGACTAAAAGTAAGATTATTTTATTGAATTTCAGGAAATTCTTCATACAGATATCAGAATTGGAGTTTCTTATTATTGCAATACTCAACCTGTCACATTATTTAGATTAATAAAACCTTGCAAAAGTGTTTCTGAATTAACGGTAAATTATTTGTGCAAGAAGTTATCCAACACATAACTCATCTATAATTTTTGTTTTTGTTACAAATGCAGGCCTGAGAAGTTTCAGTGGTACAGCTTGAAGATGGTTCCATTGTACATAGAAGATGAAGATGAGTTAGGTTAAACCTTGTTAGGTAATGATAAAATCAGTTTCCCCTGGGAAAATTGCTTGGTTTTTTAATTACAACTGGGTTTAATATTTATAGCTTTCAAATTAATATTCTAATGATACATTCTTTAATAAAAATGTATTGTTATAATCTATTTTCATGTTACCGAATTGACTCCAGAGTATAGAACTTTTCAATAGGTAACCTACTCTGTGGTAGGACATTCTAGTACTCTGTGATGTAAGAAAGACTGAAAGAAGTAAAATCATGTAAGCTTACAGTCGAAAAAGTTTTATTTTTTTTGAGAGAGAGTCATCTCATCTGTGTAAAAATTTTGACCGTTTGTGGCCTAAAAGTTTATTAGCCATTCATAAGGAGCAAACTTCAAAGACCGTGACACACCTTTCAATTCAAAGGAACACAGTATGGCTCCCTATAGCTTTATATATGGCAGCCAAACAAGTTGGAACTGAAGATAGTAACCAGACAACAGAATACTTGGGGGAATAAAAATAATTTGGTTTATAAATCCAGACAATTAAATTTCTTAAATGTCCAAAAACACAGATGAGAATTAACTGAGAGCCCAAAGGATGATGTGAGATGCCCATCTGTCCTTTGATATATCAACACTAATATGAAATGCTTCTAAGACCTGTAGAACAAGCATTCTGAGAGTATTGCATGACAATACATAGTCCCCTACCGGGTAAAAATTCATTATACTGGAACAAAATGCTAACTTGTTCTATAACTTGTCATGGTGTAAACAAAAAGTAAATAGCATGTCAATATCTTCAAGCATGACTAAAAACAGTGTTGAAAACTGATTATATGAGTGAATTTTTCAAGTACAAGGACCATAACTCTGCACAAAATTATTAGACCGAAAGAAAAATTTGAACTTGATCTGTAACTTGTCATGATAAAACTATATACCAATTATCAATCAATATCTTATAAGCATGATGAAAAAAACATTAGATATTATGATTAATAGTTCTCTAGAATTAGATATGATGTAATACAGTGTATATCTATTTCAAATTATAATCAGATATAATTAATAGTTCCAAATATTTTTTTCTTTCATTTGTCACCAACTAATATAGATTTGTAACTTATCTATAAAATGTCAACAACTTTTATCTACACAATGTAATGTATTGAAATATATATACATTAATAAAAAATAGATTATTATCTAATTATAGGATTTCTCTTCATAATTTTTTTTGGATATATATAGCATTCAGAAAATTAGTTTACACTAAATAACAAACAAAACTGTCAAAAAATTCTTCAAATAATTTAAAAAAGAATGTCTTTTAAAAAATGAATTATCTCCCTTTGTACAGAAATATGGTTTAACATAGTACTCCAACATTAGATATGGTCCAGAGTTATGGTCCATAACTCTGGACTAAATCATCAGACCGGAACAAAATTCGAACTTGATCTATAACTTGTCATGATAAAACTATATACCAAATATCAAATCAATATCTTCAAGAACGAAGAAAAAAAGTGTGGAAAGCTGATTTGCCGGACTGACGGATGGACAGACGGACAGAGTGCAAACCTAAAGTCCCATTTGACTTCGTCAGTAGGGGACTAATTAACAACTAAAACTGCATATGTGCAAAATTAATATTTAAAAAAGTTAAATTGTAAATGTACAAACTGTTCAAGATTAAGTTTAACTTTGGTGAACATATTTAAGAGTAGTTGAAGAAATCATAATATATATGTAACACTCCCAAATGTGTCCATTCCCCCAAAACATGTCAGATTACCCCAAACGTGTCTATTTCGCCCAAACGCGGCCTAAGAATCTTAAATTGCCCAAACATGACTGATTTCACTCCCCCAAACGTGTCCAATAATGTTATTCGCCAAAACGTGTCCAGTTTAAAGCGCCAAAACGTCTCAAAACTATATATGTCTCCTGTGAATTTTACGGCAATACAATGATGGGGGACACGATAGAAGACGTCGGGTTTGGGTTGGATTCTAAAAATAAATCTAAGCAGCTATCAAAGGACATCTGGAGGAAAGATATAGTAATCCGCATAGACAAATATCCAAGATATGGTACAATGTGCACAGGGACTTCTGCTTTCAAATAAACAGACACAGTGTAAGAAAAAGGATGACAAAATGAAAAGCTATTTTTACTTACAGCGGTTTTATTAATTTTTTATCAATAGAATTGTCATTGTTTTAAATAACAGATGGAGGTACTTCATAATTAAGAAATCTCATACAATTTATATTGCATGTTTTCCCAGTGCTTCACTGTTAATACAGTGGTCATTTATTAGCATTAATTTGTTCAATGCCCGTTGTTTATATTAAGCATTATTGCAAGCTTAATTTAACTATTGACTGTTGATTGCTTAATGCCAGTGGCAAATATTTCAAGCATATTTAGAGCAAACAATTGCACAGAAAACGCAATTAACTAGTTTTGTACAGTGTAAATCATCGTTTACTTAGTGAATTATTTTGTACTAATATACTCCAGTGATGCCTAAATATCTGTATAATGTATGAGGGTATTGCACGACAGGCTTCCTGCAGAAGTTGTTTCTGGGCTTTTTAAAAGAAACCTTTGGTTCCATATAGACTGGATATGTTGGGGCATTCATAAACAGAACACGTTTTGATGCCCTTAAGCAACAAGTCATATTTTGCAGTTCATTGACTTCATATGGACACGTTTGGGGGGATGGACACGTTTCTGAGTGGTACATATATACAATAACTATCTGATTTCAATCTACATGCAGAGTGAAAAAAAAAAATAAAGCATCAGGGATAACAGTTCCAAGCAAGATGGTAACATAGATCTTCATTACTAACTCAGAGGCTCTGCCATGAAAAAAATAAAGAAGCAAGGACAGCAGCTCCAAGGAAGATTATTACATTGATCATCTTCCAAGTCTGATGTGTGGCCATTAAAGAAATAATGTAAGTACAATTAGGCAATACAATTTCTGTATATTCTCTAAAAATATGTGATAAAAATACAGAAGGCAACTTCCGTCTTCTTATTTTCCACACTTACAACACACAAAAAAAAATAATTTATCAATTCAATATATGGTTTCAAGGAACAAGAATAAAGCTTTCAAATCACAAAAACTAAAATTCAGAGAGAATTTTTCCTTCAAGGGGAAAATAGTACAACAAACGGCAAGACTGTTTCATTCATTTGGAGATAACTTATTGAAAATATTAGGCTGGCAATTTCAACAAGATTTGTAAAATGTATAATTTATGTCAATTTTAATTCCTTTTTAGGTTATTTCTGAGCGGTACATATATACAATAACTATCTGATTTCCATCTGCATGCAGAGTGAAAAAAAAAATAAAGCAGCAGAGATAGCAGTTCCAAGCAAGATGGTAACATAGATCTTCATTGTTAACTCAGAGGCTCTGCCATGAAAAAAATAAAAAAGCAAGGACAGCAGCTCCAAGGAAGATTATTACATTGATCATCTTCCAAGTCTGATGAGTGGCCATTAAAGAAATAATGTAAGTACAATTAGGCAATACAATTTCTGTATATTCTCTAAAAATATGTGATAAAAATACAGAAGGCAACATCCATTTTCTTATTTTCCACACTTACAACACTTACAACACACAAAAAAAATAATTTATCAATTCAATATATGGTTTCCAGGAACATGAATAAAGCTTTCAAATCACAAAAACTAAAATTCAGAGAGAATTTTCCCTTCAAGGGGAGACTAGTACAACAAACGGCAAAACTGTTTCATTCATTTGGAGATTACTCGTTGAAAATATTAGGCTGGCAATTTCAACAAGATTTGTAAAATGTATAATTTATGTCAATTTTAATTCCTTTTTAGGTTATTTCTGAGCGGTACATATATACAATAACTATCTGATTTCCGTCTGCATGCAGAGTGAAAAAAAACATAAAGCATCAGGGATAGCAGTTCCAAGCAAGATGGTAACATAGATCTTCATTGCTAACTCAGAGGCTCTGCCATGAAAAAAATAAAGAAGCAAGGACAGCAGCTCCAAGGAAGATTATTACATTGATCATCTTCCAAGTCTGATGAGTGGCCATTAAAGAAATAATGTAAGTACAATTAGGCAATACAATTTCTGTATATTCTCTAAAAATATGTGATAAAAATACAGAAGGCAACATCCGTTTTCTTATTTTCCACACTTACAACACACAAAAAAAATAATTTATCAATTCAATATATGGTTTCCAGGAACATGAATAAAGCTTTCAAATCACAAAAACTAAAATTCAGAGAGAATTTTTCCTTCAAGGGGAGAATAGTACAACAAAAGGCAAAACTGTTTCATTCATTTGGAGATTACTCGTTGAAAATATTAGGCTGGCAATTTCAACAAGATTTGTAAAATGTATATTTTATGTCAATTTTAATTCCTTTTTAGGTTATTTCTGAGCGGTACATATATACAATAACTATCTGATTTCCGTCTGCATGCAGAGTGAAAAAAAAATAAAGCATCAGGGATAGCAGTTCCAAGCAAGATGGTAACATAGATCTTCATTGCTAACTCAGAGGCTCTGCCATGAAAAAAATAAAGAAGCAAGGACAGCAGCTCCAAGGAAGATTATTACATTGATCATCTTCCAAGTCTGATAAGTGGCCATTAAAGAAATAATGTAAGTACAATTAGGCAATACAATTTCTGTATATTCTCTAAAAATATGTGATAAAAATACAGACGGCAACATCCGTTTTCTTATTTTTCACACTGACAACACACAAAAAAAATAATTTATCAATTCAATATATGATTTCCAGGAACATGAATAAAGCTTTCAAATCACAAAAACTAAAATTCAGAGAGAATTTTTCATTCAAGGGGAGACTAGTACAACAAACGACAAGACTGTTTCATTCATTTGGAGATTACTCATTGAAAATATTAGGCTGGCAATTTCAACAAGATTTGTAAAATGTATAATTTATGTCAATTTTAATTCCTTTTTAGGTTATTTCTGAACGGTACATATATACAATAACTATCTGATTTCCATCTACATGCAGAGTGAAAAAAAAAATAAAGCATCAGGGATAGCAGTTCCAAGCAAGATGGTAACATAGATCTCATTGCTAACTCAGAGGCTCTGCCATGAAAAAAATAAAGAAGCAAGGACAGCAGCTCCAAGGAAGATTATTACATTGATCATCTTCCAAGTCTGATGAGTGGCCATTAAAGAAATAATGTAAGTACAATTAGGCAATACAATTTCTGTATATTCTCTAAAAATATGTGATAAAATACAGAAGGCAACATCCGTTTTCTTATTTTCCACACTTACAACACACAAAAAAAATAATTTACCAATTCAATATATGGTTTCCAGGAACATGAATAAAGCTTTCAAATCACAAAAAGTAAAATTCAGAGAGAATTTTTCCTTCAAGGGGAGACTAGTACAACAAACGGCTAGACTGTTTCATTCATTTGGAGATTACTCATTGAAAATATTAGGCTGGCAATTTCAACAAGATTTGTAAAATGTATAATTTATGTCAATTTTAATTCCTTTTTAGGTGATTTCAGTGTTTTCATGGATGGGAGTAAGACTTGGTGCTATAATATGTCTAATATTTAAGTAGGTATATAATTCCTCTATTTAAACAAGTTTTATTTTAATCATAAAATAAGTTTATAGGAAATAAAATATGCTCTATCCTTGAAGATGTAAGAGGTCAGAAGTTTGTTTTTTTCATATCAGTACCAAAATTGGACCAAATGTTTTAAAGATTTTAATTAATTCTGTGGATGTCATATTTTTGTGTTGTTGGGATGTTGTCACATTAATGTATACAACACATCTTCTGTTACTCATTTTTGTCTCGCCTTGACGGAGTCAAAATGTGAGACATAGGTATGCTATTTCCAGTGGCGGCGGCGTCAACAATGTATTAGTTTGTGATTAGGTCTAGTTCATGGTGAACCACTAGTGGTAGGTCAATGATATTTGGTATGCAGTTGTATAAGCATTGGCACATCTCATTTCCATGGAGATTATTTGGCCCCGCCCCTCACTCATGGCCTATTGACTTTGAAACTTTTGCTTAGTTTGTGATTAGGTCAGTTTATGGGGAACCACTAGTGGTAGGTCAATGATATTTGGTATGCAGTTGTATAAGCATTGGCATATCTCATTTCCATGGAGAATATTTGGTCCCTACCCCTCAGTCATGGTCTATTGACTTTGAAACTTTTGCTTAGTTTACATGTATTAGTTTGTGATTAGGTCAGTTTAAGATTAACCACTTATGTTAAGTCAATGATATTCGGTATGCAAATGTATTGGCATTGTGATATTTTTATTTACAAGAAAAATGGATTATTAATACACAGCGTGTTGACATGTATCATCGCACATGCATTACCTGTCCTTTATTGCCGATTGGGTATTTTAGTTCAGCTTATATCTATTAATAACAACCAATGATGTAAGGAATTCCCTACTGGCCACTCTTGACATCTAGCTCTCTAATTGCTTTGAGATGTGGGAAGGGAACCAATCAGAACAAGGCCCTTATTTCAAATTATCCAATCGGCAGAGATAATTAATTTTCATCCTTTTGGTTTAATTACTGCGTGCCTCATTTAGGCATTCTGCAAGTTTCATTTCCATGGAGATTATATAACCCCAACCCCTAATTATGGTTCATTGACTTTGAAACTTTAACATAGTTTACATTTTAGTTAATGTTTGTGTTAAGGTTTGTTTAAAGGGAACAACTTATGAAAAGTCAATGGTATTTGGTTTGCAGTTGTAGTAACACTGGCACATCTCATTTCCATGGAGATTGTTTAGCCCTGTACCTTCAGTCATGGTTCATTGACTTTGAATATTTGCATAACTTACATGTTAAAGTATTGCTTTTTTAATTTCAACATTTGCATTATCAAAATAACAAATAGGCGAGACAATTATCTCTGTGTTAACAGTTATGTCATATATGACCTATTTCCATATACTCTGGATTTATTATTCTTTGGATACCAATTTTCGTGGATATATAAGTGACCAACATATATAAATGTTCAATGTAGTACAAATTTTCTATAGGCTGGTATGCCAACTTTAGCAAACCCACAAAAATACAATTGTTCCTCAATCCACAAAAATGAAGAAATGTTCAGAATGTTGAGATCTACCTGCTGTACAATTATGTCAAAACTGTCGGACATTCTTAAAGGAGTTATTGCCCTTAAATGTAAAGTTTTACCAATTTTTTTTCATTTTTTATCCATTATCATTTTGAAAATAAAAATAGATGGAGAGAAATTTTAATACAAAAAAAGCAAGAAAAGATATGCACAAAAGTCAAATGACTGAAATCTTCTGAGGACTAGTTATTCGAGTTATTGATCTTCAATGTAGATTTTTACCATTGATCAGCAAGTCAAGATTTACAAAAAAGCTGCCTTGGATTAAATCTTAAGTAGACCTGTTCATGGAGTTTATGCCGTTTTTTTACCACATTTTTTTAGTTTTTGCCTATTATCTTGAAAAAAGTAAAATAGATACAAATGTAGATAGAAACTTTGAAAAGCAAAAATGATCAACAGGACAAGACCTGCAAATATGTCAACATGACTGAAATCGTCAGTTTACTCTTTATAGAGTTATTGCCCTTTTGTGATGATTTTTACCATGAAGTGGTTATTGTTGAAGATGCAGATGAGTGACACAGGCTCTTAAGAGCCTCTGTTTTGAACAATTTTGATTGACTAAGAATTTTACTTTCAGGCTAGCATTAATTACTGCTTGTCAGTATGGATTGTTTAGAATGGTCATTGGAGCTGTCTTTTAAGGTAAGAACCATTGCATAGATTTATAAACTTGTTGATTAAGGATTATGAAAATGCACTTGCATTTTGCCTGTGACATTTTGTCGCAGAAGCCAGGCATAGCAATTCACATTATTTTGTTTTAGATGTCCAAATTTATGTTCAGTATTATGGTTAAAAAGTTTTCAAACATCAAAAACTTTATCAAACTATAAAGTAATTGTACATCAGAAGAATCCACAGCAAAATTTTGAAATTCAAATTGAAGGAATACGTCAAACGTCAAACCTTCATAGAATTTAATGAAAATATGAAAATACGACAAAAAACAGTTATTTTATCAGTTTGATATTATGTTTCCAGTAACATGAATAAAATAATATATAATTAAAATAATATATCATTTGAAAATTAAATTCTGAGATAGATTTCACCTTCAGGGGGAGGCTAGTACAACAAACAGCAAGAATATGTCATTCAATGGGAGATAACTCATAGATTATTGAGAAAAAAATTAATGTTAAAACAAAATCAAAACATGGTTTTTTTTTCGGTTTTATAGATATTAAACTGGTTTTGATGCTATGCGAAATCTTAAAATAAAAATTGAGAGGAATATAATGTGCATTAAGCTTGATAGTTTTAAGAGATTGGTCAGAAGTTCTTTTTGTCTACTTTGCACCACAGGGGATATATGGTTATGGTCTTTGTCCAAGTGTCGTAAACACATTAATACTTATAAGGATGGTTGCTCTTTTTTTTTAACTTTTTTTTTTAACTTTTTGTCAGATATTCAGAATCCTCTTGTTTTATCCATGAAGTGCCATTACAATTTTGCCCACTTACCCCTACTTAGGGAGCTACCATTTTGGGGGGGGGGGGGGGGGGGGGGGGGTGCTAGGATGAAATTTGAAAAAAAAGGCAGGACAGGAGTTTTGAGTAAAAAAAAAAAAAAAAAAAAAAAAAAAAAAAAGGCAGGATGAGCAGGTGCAACTTGGCAAAAAAAAATGTTTATGTATGAATTTTCAAGAGATTGCAAGAAAATACATGCAAGCCCAATTACATCCTAGTCGAGTGTCCATGTGTGCCCTATATTAAAGTACATGTACACAAATATATGCACAGCTGCATGTGAATTGAGTTTGGAATGAAGCATTGTTCCACAAAACATTTTTTTGTCAAATTGGTAATGAGTCTCAAGGGCCTGTATGCATAAACGACTTAAGAAATCCAATTGTAGTACTAATTTATTGTAGGACATGTAGAAAAATCTGTCCATTCGGAACAAATCTTAACTTAAGTAGCTTTATAAATTATGCATACAGGCCCAGGCTACTATCTGAGAATGCACTAGCTAAACTAGCCATTTGGTCATAATATCCCAATATAAATGATTCCATATCCAGATGATCAACGTTAAACAATAAAATATATAAAAAACAACCTCTATTTGATCTACAAATCATTAGTCTTCTTTAATGTTATAAATCAATAATCCTTTTTTCCAGACAAAATAACAACACTGGTTGATACAATTCTAGGAACCGGTGAAGAAGTTAAAAGTTTTACAATATACTGAAGACTTGCAACAGAAAATATTTTACTGAACAGTATGAGAGAGCCAAGATGATTGTTGGATTTAGAATGCTTGGAAAATACAACCAAATGAAGACAAACAATGCACTGCATCAACAAACAAAACAACTACTGGAAAGTTGGGGCATCAGTACTGAGTTCTGATACTAAAAACAATTGTTAAGAAGACTGTACATACATGTATATATATATATATATATATTTATATAAGAAAAAAAATAATGCATGTCCTTGAAACTTGTGTACATACATGTAATGAATAGAAAAAAGGAAAGAAAAAAAAAGGAAAACATAATAAAAAGAAAAAAAAAAAAAGAAAAAAAAAGAAAAGAAAAGAAAGAAAATTAATAAAAGAAAGAAAGAAAATTAAAATAAAGAAAGAAAATTAAAAAAAAAGAAAAGAAAAGAAAAGAAAGAAAAAAGAAAAGAAAAAGAAAAAAAAAAAATTGAGGAGGGAGGTGGGTAATGCAGCCAAGTAATACTGTATTCACCAATTTTCATGCACCATAACACCCACAATCGTGATAGTACTCTTAGATTGGCCTCAAAAATTTGTGATTAAATAATATAACCTCATTATGCAGGAAATCTATTTTTGAAATTATCTTTCATCATCTAGAGCAGACCAATATTTACGTCTTTTACCATTTTCATTGATATAAGATACCCCATTTTTAATTTCTAAATAAAACCAAGGTGCGTATTATTATGAATACAGTACAACTTGCCAGTCACAAGCCTGGAATAAAGAGCCACATTAAATATCAAGAATATAGTTAGTTTAAACAGGACTGTTTACAACTTTTTTGCCATTAATAGTATATATGCATGTTACTCATATTTTTTCATTTCCTTTCAATAGGTCAATATAGAAAACGTGTGCTTATTGTTTTTCTATAGCATGTTTAGTGACATGTACCTACCCTTTTTGAAAGTCTCAATATACAAACCCTTAATTAATTGCTTTCACAACTTAATTGCAGGTGTTTCCCATATACATGTGCTCCAGTAAACAAAAAAATTCTGAAACAAATTGTACATTCTAGTTGTACATTATGTGTCATACTAGTAAGAAAAAGGGGGATACAAATTTTAAAACTTTTTAACATATATTTAAATCATGGATTTATTGTGGCTTTTAATGCAGAGTGAACCATCATATAGTTTTAATTTTAGATTCATTGTGGCTGTTAATGCCGAGTGAACAATCATACAAATGTTTGCAAACTTTGTTTGGTTGTTTGCTCAGACATTGTAATTAAGATTGACACCTAAATTCAATGGGTAGGCAGAGTAACAGTCTGTTATAAACATATACAAATATAGATAGAAACTTTAATAAAATGTTCCGCTGGGCGCAGCTTGATACGACCGCAGAGGTTGAACCCTGAACAGTTGGGGCAAGTATGGACACAACATTCAAGCTTGATACAGCACTGAATTTGGATTGTGATTAAATATTTGACACACCATAGTTTTCTGACACAGAATGATTGTGGTCCAAGAACTTAAAAATTTTTAATTTACCAATTCAAACCATATCATTATTATTTGCTTTTATATATAAATCAGAAATAACCAATTTAAAATGGGGAATTTTAAAGAAAAAAGGAAAAAAATTCCCCCCTCAAATTTTTTGAACCCCCTAATGATACATCACCCCCAAACTCAATCCCAGCCTTCCCTTTGTGGTATGGTACCTTGCAGTACAATTTCAGAGAGATCCGTACACTTGAACATAAGTTATTGTCTGAAAACTAGAAAAATGGTTGTTTCTTGGCCCCAAATTCCTAAACGTTTAGGGCAATTACCCCCAAACTCAAACCCAGCTTTTCCTTTGTGATATGGAACCTTGTAGTACAATTTCATAATGATCCATACACTTACACACAAGTATTGTCCTGAAACTAGAAAAATGCTTGTTTTTTTCCCCTTTTTGGCCCCTAATTCCTAAAATTTTGAGGCAATTACCCCCAAAATCAGTCCCAGCCTTCCCTTAGTGGTATGGTACCTTGCAGTACAATTTCAGAGAGATCCAAACACTTGAACACAAGTTATTCTCTGGAAACTAGAAAAATGCTTATTTTTGGACCCTTTTTCCTAAACAATTTGGGCAATTACCCCCAAACTCAATTCCAGCTTTCCCTTTTGTGATATGGAACCTTGTAGTACAATTTCAGAAAGATCCATACACTTGCACACAAGTTATTGTCATGAAACTAGAAAAATGCTTGTTTTTTGGCCCCTAATTCCTAAAATTTGGAGGCAATTACCCCCAAAATCAATCCCAGCATTCCCTTTGTGATATGGAAACTTGTGGTACAATTTCAGAGAGATCCATACACTAACACACAAGTTATGTCTGGAAGTTACAAAAATGCTTATTTTTGGCCCCTTTTTGCCCCCTAATTCCTTAACTGTTGGTACATTATAACCCCCAAAATCAATCCCAACCTTCCTTTTGTGGTATTGAACCTTAAGGTAAAATTTCATAGAGATCCATTTACTTAAACTAAAGTTAGAGTGTGAAAACTAATGTGTCTTCGGATGACGACGACGACGCCAACGTCATACCAATATAGGACTGCAAATTTTTTTGCGGCCGTATAAAAAGCAAACATGATCAGCAGGACAAAATCTACAAATATGTCAACATGACTGAAATTGTCAGTTAACTCTTTATAAGAGTTATTACCCTCTGGTGATGATTATACCCAAGAAGTGGTTATTTTTGAAGATGCAGGTGAGAGACACTGGCTCTTTGGAGCCTCTGTTTTGAACTATTTTGATTGACTAAGCATTTTATTTTCAAGCTAGCATTAACTACTGCTTGTCAGTATGGATTGATGTTTAAAACGGACATCAGAGCTGACTTTTTAGGTAAGAACCATTGCAGATCATTGAATAGATTTATAAACTTGGTGACTAAAGATTATGTAATCGCCTTTGAATTTTGTCAAGCCTGTGACATTTAAGTCACAAAAAGCCAGGCATAGACATCCTTATCACTGAACTAATATATATATTTGTTTAGGGGCCAGCTGAAGGACGCCTCCGGGTGCGGGAATTTCTCGCTGCATTGAAGACCTGTTGGTGACCTCCTGCTGTTGTCTGTTCTATGGTCGGGTTGTTGTCTCTTTGACACATTCCCCATTTCCATTCTCAATTTTATCCGACATTAGGTTGTCAAAATTTAGGTTCAGATTTTGTGTTCAAAAAGTTTCTAAACATCAATAACTTAGTCAAACTTTGGAAGTAATTGTACATTAGAAGAATCCACAGCAAAATTTTGAAAATGTTATTTTTCTGTATGACAAAATCATAGGAAAACAGTCAGCAAAATATTAAATACAAAAAAAACAAAAATTATTGACCTGCCTCCATCTTTTTTTTAGAAGTCATTATCTGATAACCAGAAAATATATTTGACACAGTGGCGGATTTAGAGGGGGGGGGGGGGGGGGGGTTTGTGGGAAAAATTTGGTTGATTATATAGGGAATCACCGAAGCATGACTGGAGCGGGCCCCCTCTTAGGCAGTCAGTGAGCCCCCTCTTATGAAAATTTCTGGATCCGCCATTGTGACATAGCCTGTATATTGAAAATTGTACAATGATTCCTTGATAAATAATAACTGAAACTGTTTAAGATATTTTCAGTAAAGGACAGTACAGTTTCTGATTGTCAATTTGGATATGTATTCTTGTGTAGTACAATGGCACATAATATATATCAGTGACTTGATACATGTATGAACATATTGATACATTCCGTCCTAATATTTAGTTGTGTGAAGAGCCCAAAGCCCAAGTTTATTTGCATATATAGACGGATATTAAAATGAATTCCTGCATAACAAATTCAGGGAATGAGACGCTAATAAAACAAGCCATAAGTATAGTGGTTAAGGTTTTTTGTCGAGCCTGCGACTTTTGTCGCAGAAAGCTCGACATAGGGATAGTGATCTGGCAGCGGCGTCGGCATTAGCTAACTTCTTAAAAGCTTTATATTTTAGAAGGTGGAAGGTCTGGATGCTTCATACTTTGTATATGGATGCCTCATGTTACGAAGTTTCTGTCAGTCACATGTCCAATGTCCTTGATCTCATTTTCATGGTTCAGTGACTACTTGAAAAAAAAGTTAAGATTTTTTGTAATGTTAAATTCTCTCTTATTATAAGTAATAGGATAAGATAACTATATTTGGTATGTGCGTACCTTGCAAAGTCCTCATGCCCGTCAGACAGTTTTCACTTGACCTCGACCTCATTTCATGGATCAGTGAACAAGGTTAAGTTTTGGTGGTCAAGTCCATATCTCAGATACTATAAGCAATAGGTCTAGTATATTCGGTGTATGGAAGGACTGTAAGGTGTACATGTCCAACTGGCAGGTGTCATCTGACCTTGACCTCATTTTCATGGTTATAGTTAAGTTTTTGTGTTTTGGTCTGTTTTTCCTATACTGTATGCAATAGGTCTACTATATTTGGTGTATGGAATGATTGTAAGGTGTACATGTCTAGCTGGCAGGTGTCATCTGACCTTGACCTCATTTTCATGGTGCAGTGGTCAAAGTTAAGTTTTTTCTAATACTATATACAATAGTTCAACTATATTTGATGTATGGAAATATTTTATGATCTATTTATCAGTCACACAGGTTTTTTTTTTACCTTGACCTCATTTTCAATGTTCATTGCTCAGTGTTAAGTTTTTGTGTTTTGGTCTGTTTTTCTTAAACTATAAGCAATAGGTCAACTATATTTGTTGTAATAAAGCTTTATATTTAGGACTATCAACATAATATCAATGATTAGTAAAGAAGGCGAGACATTTCAGCGTGCATATCATATAAAGTTATAAAGGGACATAACTGAAGAACAGTAAAAGTGACGCTACCCAAATTTGAACTTGATCTGAGTTTTGTGGTAATAAGCATTGTGTATAAGTCTCATAACATTTGGTTAAGGCAAACTTAAGTAGAGAACAGAAACTTAAAATTCTGCAAATTTTCTATTTGTAAACATGCATAACTCTAGAACAGTTGTGTAAGTTTTATAACATTTGGTTGAGACAAACTAAAGTTAGAGAACGGAAACGAAAAAAGTCAGCAATTTTTATGTTTATAAAGGAATATAACTCAAGAATAGTAAAAGTGTCCCCACCAAATTTCTTACTTAATCTGTATTATGTAGTAATAA